TCCTGACAGATCCAACTCCTTGAGACTTCCAAGCGACTGAAAAAAAAAATAGAAAACATATATTGTTATGCTTCAAGCTTCAGGCCATGCAGGGGTATAAACTTTTAGTAATACGACATATGTTTGCGCATATCACATTCAAAAAGATCTTAGTCTGGAATCTATAACTCCTGCTGTGCAAAAAGATTCTTAACAAATGCAAGCCAATCGGCAAATACTAGAACGTTAAAAATGTACCTGGGGGCCTTCCCATAGCTTCTTAAGCGTCTTGCTTTTCACTCTCAACACTGTGAGATGTTTTGGGCCAACTTTACCAGGCAGACATTTCAAAAGGGGACCCAAGCAATCGAATTCAGAGTGTTCATCGATCCATAAACTATCGTGGACATCCACGACAAATCCATCTTCCATATAGTTGGTCAATCGAATCTGAGGGAAATTTATTAACCGGGGACATCCAGTGAAATCCAGGCACCCCAGATATTCCATGTTGGCAGGCAATATTGGGATAAACTCGAGCTTCCTGCATCGAGCTATATTTAAATTCTCCAGTTTAGCGAGATTCTGAACCGAGGGAGGAAGTGACACCAAAGATTTGCATTCAAAAAGCACTAGCTCATCGAGGTTTACGGCATTAGAAAGATCTGGAATTTCTTTCAAATCTCTGGAAAAGCTCAAATCTATCTTCTTGAGGCTTCCAAGTGGCTGAAAACAGAACAGGGGAAAAAGAGAATACACAAAACATTTTTAAACTGATACTCACTATGCTTTTTAACAAAAATATTGTAATCCAGTTATATTCTAAATTAACACCGTACGAAACTTGTAATAAAGTTTAAATTAGTACCTGAGTTCCATCCCACAGCTTCTCAATCTTACTGTGTATCATACTGAACTCGACGAGAAACTCCGCCTTAAATTCAAAAGGCAAACACTTGGATGGATATTGTTCCCAATGAAGCAATCTGAGTCCCGGGGGCAAATAGACGAGGGCTTGCGGTACATTCAATCTGTCTTTAGCCTCTGGCCACCAGTCATTTGCATAAACTTGTAGAAATTGAAGATTAGGCATGCCTTGAAACGATTTTTTATCTAAGAATATTGGCCCCTTGATATCTGATGTGTTGAAATGTATTCCTAGCACATTTTTTGTGCCCTG